TTCTTCGCCGATATGTGCGGGCATCACGATATTTTCCTTCACCGTAAGAACGTCTTAAATATTATCAAAGTTGACTTAGTTGGAATTTTTTAAAAAATCTTTAATTAGTACTAACAATATGTGCTGGTTTGTATCCGGTACGGCCTCAGTCGGGTTATTTGAATCGCTTGTTTATAAATCAATTTTCCGAATTATTAGCTTCGATTTCACGATCATGTTCATAATTAAAATCCCCCAAATGAATTCAGTGAAGAGCTAATTGGGATTAATCCAATAAAGTTAGTTCTAGTTATAATAATTTCAATATGATCCTTGGAATCAATGCCGAAGCGAGTAAGCGAATAAACCTCGACGCATTTACAAATCCAATACTTTACAGATTTGTCACAGCACTGCTCAGATTACAAAGGAGTCGTACAAGTCCACCGCGCACTCCGACTGGTATTTTATTGCAGGGTTGTCAATTATCTTTCGATTTTGACAACCCTATAAAAATGTTAGAAAACGACTATGATCTCATCACTGAAATAATAAATAATAACGAAAAGACAAGAACCAGTAGAACGTTTTATAAAAACAAATGATTTCAAAAACCTATTTCAAATCGTAGCTAGAGAAATTGTCTGTCTTTAGTGGTACAAAATGTTTTAATAGTGCAACGAAGTGCAAAAGAGTTCTAATAGAATTAAGGACACACAACACGTTATATTTCTTTAACATTCAGCCGACTAGTGACAGTGTAATATACTCAGGCAATAATATCGTTCAAAACACGAGGCAAATCTATCCATCTATTCATCTATATGTTGTATTTGAGTCAATAAGCCACTACGGTACAGAGGTAAAGGGCACATAAACGTGTTTACTGAAACACAACATACGCAACTGTTTATTGTAAATACAGAGTATTCGATAGGAAACGTTTTCGAGTGATAAATAATGTTTATAATCGACAACCCTATTCCGACGTCAGCGGCCAAGACCAATAGTTATTATGTAAATACAATACCAGTTGTTAAAAATGCACCACTTTTTTACCAACTGCCAATATTTCATCAAATCCACTTCGAGTATGCGACAAACCGAGAATACAGAACAAAGAATTCTTTCTGATAAGATGTGTGAGATGTTGTTAGCCGTCACAATGATACAAGAATTTATAGGTAGTTAAGTAAGTAAGATAGTAAGCAGAGATATATTTTTTTACATAAATTATTTTATTTAAAGTTACATAATCATCGTGATTGTTATGATCTCTAAAAATTAATAACAAGAAAAATAAAAGTCAAGTTAACCGATCCTAAAAATTGTAATCACCTTTTCTTAGAAATGTTTAAAAAGTTTAAAAGTAAGCAAAAAAAAAAACTTTGTTACGTGACGTAAGCAACTGAATTTAAAATAAACCTTACATACGTAAAATGATTGCGTACCGAGAGCTAATTGAATGGAATATTTTCAGTTGTTTTGCAAGCTTAAATCCCCATACGCACAAATATGTTTTTACGCCGCGTCAAAACTTGGCGTTCGCGAATCTCGATGTTAAAATGCTTTAAAATCACCCTTGTTCTGTTCTCCCAGGGCTCAAAATGCAACAATGCACGAATGTATGAACTTATTTCGAAATGCTTGTTCCATTCGAGCGGTTTTTTTAACGCGCATTATAAAAGCGTACTTACGAACGTGGACTAAAGCTTTTAAAATATTACAGTCTTCAATATTGTGATGACCGAAATGTTATGATTAAAAAAATGTGTAAATCCGGGCATCCAAATAACATCTTTAATTATTAAATGTTAAAAGGAAACTATACTGTCATTATTAAGAAATGTACACTACTTAAGAAGAACGTAGACTAACATTTAGGTATTATTATGTGTCATATTAAAATCTATGATTCGATAAACATGTACAGTATGCTGTATAGTCTATGCCTTTTGTTTTTAATCACGTCAGCAAAGGATTTAGAACTATACGCTATACAAAGCTTCCCTTTCCGTGTCTAGGATTTATCTATACTTTGATTAATGTTAGGGTCGTAGGTGCAATCAATAAATATGTGTAAAACGCACTTGATAAAAAAATTCAAGCTCTTTATAAAAACTATATTTGTATTAATTCATAAATTTAATATGAAATCGATCGTAATGCTGAAGCGAAATAATGTTGTAAAAATAGTGGTGAAATTTTTCCATTCACTTTAGAACACTTTAATACAATCTAGTCAATAGTAAAGGTTCATTGGAGACAATCAAGACTTATTTATTAAGAAAAAAATAATATGTTACTACTATTTATTAATTACCTTAATCATCATCTCCCCTGTCTTATCCTACTCCCGTAGGGTCGGCGCATCGGGTTTTCGTCCTGCAAATAACTCTATCATCCGTCATCTCAGTCATCACTCCCTTCTCGATCATGTCTCCTTTCACGCAATCCATCCATCTCTTTCTAGGTCTACATCTACCGGTGTACCCCTCCACATTCGTAACGTCCGTCTTGTATTGTTACATGCAATTCATCCCTTCTCATAACATGCCCATACCACTCTAACCTTCAACACCTTAATGTTACGTTTAAATTAAGCATCTCTTTTAAAGATCAAAGTTATTTACTTCGGTAATATCGATAACTTCATGTACAGATAATGAAAGTTGAGCAAAACATTGATTTCGTGCAATATAAGGTTAAATTGAATGTCATCAGTATTGGTGCATAACTATTTTTAATTCGTTCACCAGGCAACAGTAAAAGTGAGATAGATATTTCATCATATTTTTTTTAAAGACAAAGTTGTACGTATTGATAGGAAATCTTATTGACAATCTGTTGTTCGGTCGCCAGCGAACCCGTGTCATGGACGACTGATAATACTTAACACGCTTCAATTACTTTGAATTTTAAATATAATTCGAAACGTATTTTATACAAATTTACATGTGACATATTTGCCGGTTGTATTCTATGATTGTATTTGTTGATGAACACCATCAGCTGCCTTCTTACATCTAAAGCGAAAGGGTCTAGCCATTTGGACATTAATAACATTATCAGTTTAAAAGAAGTAGATTTTAGGATTGCCATTAAATTACAAAGTAGACGTGATTAAATAGTTTTTCTTTTACTTCACGTGGAGATGGAATGTTGCTTTGTACTTCTATACTAATCTATACTATTATTATAAAGAGGAAAGACTTGTATTTTTGTATTTGATTCACGTAAAAACCAATGGGCAGATTTCAAAAATTCTGTCACCGTTAGAAAGGTAATTTATCTGTGAGTAACATAGGCTATATTTTTTATTTCACGTAAACGAAATCGCGAGGAATAACTAGTAGTCTAGACTATAGTAATATTATTAGGAGGAAAGATTTGTATTTTTGTATGTACTGAAATAACTCAAAAACTACTAGGCCGATTACAAAAATTCTTTCACTTTTAAAAATCTACTTTATCAGTGAGTATGCTATGTTTTTTCATAAATTTTTAATTTCACGCGGGCAAAGACGGGAGCAACACCAAGTATTTAATAAATTTGTGCGAAAGTGAAACAAACAAGGTCCATGATGTAACTTTGAATGACAAAGTCGGGTCGATGGCAGAGTTCAGTGTTGAGATATCGTGATACTAACGAAACGTCATGCCTCTCAGGGAATTATGCATTATAATATGATACATTTATTATAATATTAAGTATTTTCTCATATATACTCGTATAGATAAATTTATAAATATTTTATAGGTAGTAATATGAATTATTTTTTATACACATTGACCAGTAGGTAAAAGTGAAAATTAATAATAGCCAATCAATAGTTAGGTTCAAAGTAATAATTCCAAAACTTGAAATACTACTTCACAATTAATTCTAAGGAGACGAATGTTCCATTGTTTCAGGCTACAATGATCTTAACTTGAACTCCAAGCGCAATATTTCCTCTCATATATTGCTACTAAAACGAGCTGTCGCCCGCAAGCTTCGTTAGCGCAAATTTAGACCACCCATAACGCCATTTTGACAACGCGGGATTTAAAAAATAAGTAGCCTATGATATACCCTTCTATGTCAGCTACCCTCCAGTGAAAGTCCGATCGAAATCGGCCCAGCCGTTTCGAAGATGAGATTCTATATATTTTACATCATACACGTTATAGGTTATACGTCGTGATATAAATCTCAAATAAAAAATTATGTGTCGTTCAATATAATTGAAATGTAATTAAATTCACACGTATAAAACAAAGGTGGTAAGGCGGGTACAAAGCGAATGAGGTCTGCGCTCGGTAACTGAATCCGCTCCCGGTAAGCGCCTGTTCCCTTAAATTGTTCTTATTTTCACGCCATTTATTTCGTCTGTGCAACGTCATTTTTGCATTTTATTGCTTTAGTGTTTTATTGTTTATAAATACGTAGGTGTTGTGTTGTCGAGTTTTATAGGCAGCTTATTAGTTTGTTACGACCACTGGTCTTATGCTTGTCGCGTTAAGTTTTGTATTTGATAACAAATTACACAAACATAAATATTCCAGTTGTTTTCATTATTATCAACAGTTTTTAAACATTATTTTTAAATAGATGTAAGACGTCAAACCGAATCTATAAATAATTTTTACGTAGTTCATACTTCCTCAACTTTTAGGTAACTTTCAAGGTGCAGCTTACTTAAGAGAACATGGAAAATTTACAGAGCTACAGAAATAGATTTTTTTATTTTAGAAATAAGTTATGCAAACAATATCAAACAAATTATAACTAACGAAGGTGTATTTCGTTTCGTGCGTCAGGAGTTACAGGAAAATTAGAGTTAATAGCTAATTTGTTTTGAAAGATTGATGCTTACTTTTGTCGCTTTATCCGGGTTAGCTGAAGACTGTTACGCTAACACGTGTCTCGGTAGTCACATATCGTACACGGTATGAGGTTGTTCATACTGAACACGTTGATACTGGACCATATATGCCAGGTCATAAATCGGAGCAAATAACAAAGGGTAATGACTCACCGTGGGATGTATGTGTGCGTGAGAATACAGCTGCATTCTGCGCGTGTCAGTTGTGTACGCCGTTGGGGGCAGATCGTTCATTTCGAAGTTGGTCTGCAGGCAAGGATTTAGCCGCACGACGTCCTCGTCGGATGCCCGATGGAGCCCCGCTCCATCGGCACTTCGGGCCACTGTTAACAACAAAAATCAAATCAAGAAAATATAAGACATCATTTTCATCACATGTCGAAGACAAAACCATACTTCTGATATGAAATGACGGCATCTCAGCACTAGTCAACCCTATAGGAAAACCAAACCGAACATACGTTGAGTCTAATTATTCGATACCTTTTTTATAAATCAGATATACTAACGGAACCTGAAATTGTATTAATTTAAGCCTCAAGATAAGTACAAAAATATACCAGTGATTTAAATAATGTAGTAAATAAGGTCTTCTACCCAATCGCGCGAGGGGGAAACGAGAGGGAGGCAAAGCGCCGCTAAAAGAAATCTGAACTTGATAAATTCATCAAACATACTTATGATTAAAATAGTCAGCACTATCGTGGTACGTGCTTACAAGCGATGTTAATAAGATTACGTCATTGCGACTTATTCATTTTAAAGTACATAAACATACATACACCTAAGAAGTTAGAAGACCAGATGTACGGTTGGTTCAGTTTAAAAAGAAAAATAATAAAACTGAGTATACCATGACGTCATTCATGTAAATCGGTAATGAAAATAATAAATACCGAAGACATCAGATTCTTCAAATCAGTCAAGCCGTTTAGTGCTCAAGACTTCATAATTGAACAGACAATAGACCGCAACACACACTAACATATACAATTAATGTATCATATACAGAATACACAAAATCAATAGTGTGGTAGTAAACCCCAAGAATCAAAGTATCAATCAAGTATGAATTATGCAGACATAATTGATATCAAATACATAAAACGATTTCTCATCCTATGAACAATAAGTTGCGGATGAAAGGAGATTACATGTGGCTGAGATGCGTATGTTTAGATGGATGTGTGGTGTGACGAGAATGGATAAAGTAAATAATGTGTATATTAAAGGAAGTTTGAAAGTAGCGCCAGTGGTGGAGAAATTGAGAAGCCGAGACGATGGGGACATAAACCAGATAGTGCAAAGATAGAATGTGGATTGCTGCAAAGTTAGAAAGGCCGAATAAAGTATGGATGTATTGTGTAGAAGAGGATATGTTTAAGAAGGGAGTGGATTCAGATATGACGACTGATAGAAATGTATGGAAGAGCGCCACAAACTGTGCCGACCCTCCGTAGGAACAAGGGCGAGTTGATGATGATGATCTTACGACCAATAGGATGGTTACACGGTTACTCTATTAGACACATGAAATATTCTGTAACTAACCACGTTCTCCCATAGCGACATCTGTAGCATAATTAATATTGCATTACCGTACGTATCCTGTTATATAACCGCATACATACCAAAGTACTTCGATGAAACGTATAAAATGTTCATAAAATTTGAAATCCTATCTAAGGAATCTCAATGTACTGACATTACAATAATAAAATGATTCTCGGGCGCAGTATTGACAGTAGTAAGAATATTGAATTCGATAATCAACGTCTAATCTAGAATATATACAATTAACTTTTGTACTATCCGTCAAGTTCATCCAATTTAACACATATCAAGAAATTGCATTGCTTCACAAAGGATTCGAACTAACAAATGCTCTTAAACGTCGTCGTCGTCACCAGCTCACTATACGTCCCCACCGAGGGGCTCGGAGCCTACCCTAGTATGGGGTGACTAGGCCATAGTCAACCACGCTGGCCAAGTGCGGGTTGGTCGACTTCACACATATCTTTGAATATCTTCGCCGATATGTGCAGGTTGCATCACGATGTTTTCCTTCACCGTAAGAACGTCGGGTAAATTATGTACATATGAAAATTCGAAAAATCGAAAATCACATTGGTACACGTCGGGATTCGAACCCAAGACCTGTAGATTACAAGTCAAGTGTTCAAACCACTGAGCCACCGACGCTCTTAAACGTATTAACAACTATTGGAAGTCTAAGATAATCTTATTTTTGGACAAATCTAGATAAAGTTAAGAAGATATTTTTTTACTAAATAATTATACGTACCATTTAGAAAATCATAAAGATTATATGTCAGGGTAGAGTTATAAATGCGGGATATAACTGTCTCCAGCCCTATTAAGTAGGGTAGGTTAAAACTTGAAAGAAATCCGTACATGATTCTGTTGAAACACTTTATGAAAATTTCATAGATTATCGCGCAACTAGTTTTGTTAGTGCAACAAGTTAGGGGACGCGCGTATCCATAAAGGTTTGTAAAGCACTGCGCTGCTAATAAATTATTGTTCAACAAATATGGACAACTCATATTACATTACTAAATGTAAGCACTTACATTTTTAAGATCGAATTACTTTGCTATGTCTTGTTACAAAGTTGACGTTAGAATATGTTTGTAATTAAAGATTAGCTCAAAGTCCACTTTCAGTCCATCGCACTCAGAGTCATATAATAATAATTTAAACAATACTTAGTATAGATCTCTTATCCTTAGTTACCACGACGAAAGTATTGTGCAAGATGTGTATGCCGTCAATGCGGCAGATTATAGGGATATATTTATCCATTCATATTACGCAAATATCGACATCTAAAGAAAAAAGTTACATTCCTCAAGGAAGTTACATCGCTGAGATGTAACTCTTTTCGTTGAACGAGCCGATACAGCATTTTCGCAAAGCGTCAAATAGCATCGCGTGTCGCGACGCATTGCTGCGTTTGGCATTCACCTAGAATAAGTGCGAACAGGTATTTGAATGATAAAAAAATAACTTGTCGGCAGAAAAATACGAAGAAATTATGAGAAAACGTTCAACATTCTCTCGCTTACTGTCATTTGGCATCGCGTCGCGGTCTTTTGCCGCGTTTGTTGCTCACCTAGAACAATAGGGAACAGACCTTTATATTAACACAAAAGATTAACTAGTCAGGAACTAGTATTTATTCACTAGTTGTCTCCCGCGACTTAATTCATTGGAGTTCGTCTCTCCATGCAAAAAATACTCTCCCCTATTATTTACTAAATTTTGTAACTATCTTTGTAATAGAAAATCCTTTTAATTTTTCAAATCTCTAGGCCTTGTATCTACAAACAATCATTACCCCACAGAAAAAAAAATGGAAAAGTCTAAAACACTTCCTTATTTATTTTGAAGAGTGTTCATCAATTTTCAAGTGATTTTGCTGAAGAAATCTCTCCATACAAAACTCCAAATTTCTAGGTCACATAGTTTTGGCTGTGCGTTCATAGTTGAGTCAGCCAGTTATCTTTTAATAAATGACGTATTTTTGTATAAATAATAATAATCAAATGTATTCGATTTAATTGTAACATTTTATTCTTTTTTTATTTATTTGCAACTTAACTTCTTATTTACCTTAACGGGTATTAAAATATTTTTTAATTGCAATATCAGAGATGCAGTGAAACGTAATAAATGAGAATTCAGATTTCGGAGAACTCATTTGTGTTTAAAATTGATATTTATAATGAAATGCGATTTATAAATACTTGATAATGCTATATAAAATATTTGTGTTGGGATAAAAAGCGTTAGTAAGAATGTAAATCTATACTAGTTATATTTAATTTAATCTTTCTTACTTCTGACTAATGATAAGAATGAAAAAGTTTAAACGGATGTTTGTTAGAGTTTGAAGCTGTTTGGTTGAACGGAACTGTATGAAATTTGACACAGATGTAGAACATAGTCCGGAAGAACAAATAGGCTTACAAGTTTTGTTTTTTAGTAATTCTACGAGGACGAAGTTGCGGGCGACAGCTAGTTCTATATAATGATAGTGAAGAAAAATGGGATTTACACCATGATACTGATGTTCAGCTTTAACTGAAGAGTCTAATTGATCAATTATAACTGAGCATCTGTAGTGGGCTTAAGTTAAATAGACGTTCGGAATATATCTACACAGATGTTTATTTCTTTTTTTTTAACTAATAATATCATTTAATTCTTAACCCTCATTATCTTACAAAAAAAAAACATAGAAATAGCGGAAAATGTTGGACATTTAAATACAGATAACAAAATATTCAAGTTGAATTAAAGATATATACAAAATTTTCTAAGAATCGTAGAAATAACATATAATATTTAAAAGAAAATATAAAAAGTTACTGAATTTGAAGAAAATCAATATAATATAAACATTCCATTCACAATTTCATTAATACAACGTCCTACTTTTAACTTGATACGTAAAACACAATACTAATCTCATAGTAAACAATTATTTATAAACATATTTTATAACATTTCACGTAATATTGACCAATGAATTTATAATTAACGATATATGAGCAGTATAAAATTACCAATATAAAATATAATAAAGTCAGTTAATCAAAGAGATGCTGTAAATATAAAATTAATAAAAAGCGTCATTGGTAAAATCATTTTAAATTGTCAATTCTGTGAAGAGATAATATAAAATTGTATACACATTACTCAATTATAACGGAAAATATTAAAATACTAGTTGTTGCCCGCGACTTGTCCACGCAATAAAAAGACAAAATTAGCTTATAATATGCCCGTCTATGTCAGCTACACAGAAAGTCCGGTCGATTGGCCGTTTTATGAGTTTATCAGAAACAAACGCAGATTGCGGACAAACAGACAGACAAAAAAATCAGCAACGCAAGTACATCATCTTCCCGAATTTTTCTTTTGAATTTACAGACAGACGGTCCAATTTTATTATATGTAAAGACTAGCTTCCACCCGCGACTCCGTCCGCATGGAAAAAAAAACTGAGTAGTCTATGTGTTCTTCCAGACTATTCTCTACGTCTATGCCAAATTTCATCGAAATCCGTTCAGCCATTTAGGCTACAAACTCTAACAAACTTCCATCCATCCATCTAAACTCTCGCATTTATAATATTAGTATGAGTATGATAGATAAGTAACACATCATATTAAATCCTTAGTCATATGTAAGGGAGGTACTCTCAATTGTCATTATGATGTTAATTGTAAATAATTTTTTATTGTTTCTAACTTTACAAGTGGAAATTATAGTAGACCTTGGTATTGTTCAACGATATACGCTGTAATCACTGTAGGTCCCTTATAGTAAGTTTAGAGAAAAAAATAGGTCACTTTTTATGTAAGTATGTGGGTTTGTACCTATGTAAATTGCATTGTGACGGCCTAGAGCAGAGATGGCGAACCACCGGCACGACTGCTTAACGTAAAAAAATATTTGATATAAATATATCTTTTAACAAATGTCTATTGATATATTTTGCATGGGGTCATCGTAATAAGTTTTCAATCACATGGACCCCTCCACCCGTCACCCCGAGAGTAGAAGCTGTAACAGTTACTGCCCCCCGCTACCTTTACCTCACCGGATCGGCTAACGACATATTTTTTAATAATCTCTTAACCGTAATAAAAAAATCGGTGCTATCAATGGTATTACACGATAGAAAACCTCGGCATTGCATGAATATGGTATTGTTCTAAAAATATCTAAGGAGAGCACACACTTATTACATTATTATCTAATTACAATCCTGGTAATTAATGGTCTAATTACAATATCTTTACTTTATGTAATACAGGTGTCAGTACGTTGTAAACTTTTGAGATACTAAAGTAATCTAAAAAAAAAATTATAGTGAAAACTAATATAAATTCTGAATGTAACTGGTAAACGGATCCCGACCTCTGAAAACCTTTTCTTTGCTTTAAGCTTTGCTTCTTAGTAATACCAGAAAAGGAAAATCCACTTAGAAAAGACGTGTGCTTTAAAAATCTTGAACGCTTAAATAATAATAAAGGGACTCTCTATACATTTCTTAGGACGGATTTTTAATGAAAAGGAGGACATCGCGAACGGTTTCAAAAGTAATATAATTTTATTTTTACAAACATATAAATAACAAAGGTATGTTTGAATGCGCTAATCTCAGGAGATATTAAGAGGATTTGAAAAATAGTACCCTAATAAAAAATTCATTAAAATAATCGGTAACTACGTAGAAAACTGAATTAAAATAACATAACTTAATTTATTTATTATTTAAGATTAAAACTTAAAATTCGAATTTTATTTTTATACATTTAATAAATGTAATACTGTATTTATATAGCTTAAACACTGTAATTTCCTTTACAATATATTAAATTATTTAATGTTGCAAGGAACAAAATAACTTTTGGTATACAACAAAAATTCTATTTTAGAAAACTAGAGTCACTTTTAAAAGCCATAATTTGATAAAAATCCTATAAGAAGTAAAATTTCAGAAATAAAGTTTCAAACTTATAAAACTGTGTATGTACTACTTACCCACTTTTTATGATTTAACTGCGAAAGTTGAGTGTATTCCTCTCCTTATCTTCGTATATTTCAGCATCCAGGTATTAAGGGCATTTACAAAATCTGATTTGTTTGAACATGTTAAATTTATTGAACACTTAAAGTTTTTCAAATCACAATGTCAAATATTAGAACTTTACAAATAATAACAAATACAATTTCCAATAAGTAGGGCGTTCGGTATATGTTTTTAATTATGTATTATTGTTTTAAAAATATTTTAGTGTCCAAGCACGTTGGGCGGGCGGCTGTTTTCGCGTGTCGCGGTTAACGGACAGAGCATCCAGTAATACGAGTGACGTGTATCGCGGCCGAGGTGAGGACGAGCACGCCACTCGCTCCGGCTCTACGTAAGCTCGTCGCTGCCGCGTAAGCGACGTACAATATGCCAACCGGCGCTGTGATGTCGCTAGTTTACACAATTTATTATTTACAAAAGAAAGTAAAGATGCGTTTTAGCGCGCGCCATACACCTGCTCAAGGTCCTTTCTCTCGTAAGATGCTTAACAATAGGGTAATCTTAAGGAAATTTTCTTTTGAAAATGGAACATTCAATCGTTCAAGGAAAACGTAACTGTGAATATCAAACAAGTGGGGAAGCACGTGGCGCCATTGGCTGAACTAAACCGTCTAAAGCCAATGGCGCGCGTAGGAGGAGTCGCATCGTAATCACTATGAAATTTGGCGAGACAGATCCCGTCTTTTATTCTTCCACGTCATCTTACAAGAATAGGGTTCGCCGCGGAACGTAATATTGCCCTCAGGCGGGCCACCCAATCGCATTTCCCGAATCATTATACAAACGTGCCTTACATATGCGGATTGACACAATAATGATCACATCCAAAAATGTTTCAGTTACCTAAAAAAATGTTTAAAAACAAAACAAAAATTGAAAACATGAACTTGAAAACTTAACAAGATTAACAAAATGTATTACCTAGTTAAAACTTAGGTAGCTAAAGTTAATAGTCAAAAAATACAGTTCTTAAAAACAAACACGTCATTTAATGGAATCGGGGTAGACACAATTCTATAACCTAATACTTAGTTAAGCTATCAAACTTCTCATGTGAATAATATATATCTCATACTATAGCAAAAAAAAATTTCGACAAGGAATCGAACTGAAACCAACATTTAACCCAATCGCTTAAACACATACAGCTAATTCCATCTTCTTTTGTTTCCTTTCTCAATTAATGAAACCACTATATTGTTTCTTTATACGTTAGTTATTTTGTAAACCAGTAGAACTTCTAACTAATAGCAGTCATGATATTGTAACTTTAATATTGCAATGGTTATAAAAGCGGTTTTCCTACGGATGTTGTTTCTACGGTTGCAACTCCTAATGTTACAATAAACATGTAAATCGAATTGAGATAGCTAAATACAAAACTACCAGCTAAAAAAATTAAGCGGATAGGAATACATATATGTTATTTAAATCACTGATTCACTGCCTTGATTTATTCCTATATTTGGAAACTTTGGGTTTAATAATTCTATTTATAAACCGGTCATTGATATGCACAAACTCCTATTGCTTACAACTAAGCCACGTTCATCCTGATTACACGGTTCACACATTGCTTATTCAATATCATGCAGTACAGCGCAGTGGTTACAACTGTAAAGTAAGGACATATGTGGATCTATCAATAGATGCATCAGCTCTATGTCCCCACTGAAGGGCTCGAAGCCTACAAGGGTTTAGAAGATTACCTAAAGACTCTATACATTTCAATAAAATTGGTATGACTGCATGTTAAAAAAAAATATTTCGTCGTGTGTTTGCGTTACATATAAGTAATAACAGCTTTTAATTATTTTATGTCTGTCTAAAAAAAAACTACCTGAAAAATATAGTATTCACAAGTTAACAAATCTCCTGTTAAGATCGTATTGAACGCAATATAATACGCGGTATAAGTAGACAACAATAGTAGCGCCAATATCCATTTACCGTACGGAGAAGTATCCCAGTAAAATGCATACGAACTCAGGTTACCGTCATGGAAATTGTTATACGCTGAGCATTGCAAGAGTATACGAAAATAGAGGATATTCCCGAATCAAGAATTCGTCGAAATTTGATTAATTCGTGGTCACTTGTGTTTCTTGTATTTATGGAATAGTACATAATAAACAAGCCCTCAACTCACAAATAACACTAATCTATAAGTTGTTCAAACCCTAATCTTCCATACAAACTTACTAAGATTCCGTCAAAAATTAACGAAACAGTAAAACGTCCACCACGGGTTGCCAGAAAATATTTATACTTGATTTTTATTTTTTATAGGCGTTATGATGCCTTGATACATGGAAGCGTAATAAAATAAAAAGTCGTTTCCTTTTTTTTCGCATGAGCATACTCTTGACATTCGGGTTTTATTCAAACCTCAATTCAATTATAAGAGAGTTGGTGATCGCACGTGTTTTACGTGGTTTTGGCTGTTTTTATGTTAAAAAGATAATCAAGTAGTAAAGTGGTATAGTTTACGCTTGTCTACGATTAGCGCGTGTTTTCCGTGAAACATAGTCAACAGTTTTCCGCCAACTTGAGTGAAACCTATCAAACTTTGATATTAAGTAGCAAGTGAAAACCAAGTTCCTGAACCTAAAATACGATTAGTACTGACTGTTGCACATTTCTCGACGTTTTCTTGAGTTCGATCGCTGACCAAAATTCTAGACTAAGATTTTTTCAGTTCCTAATAATTCCGCGTGGCGCTAGTTTCGATCTATCCGTGTTTTATTTGTATATTTTTTATTATTTTAGTATGTATTTTTACTAAATACATTTAATGTTTAAAGAAAACATAGGCTTCCTTTACTCCAAAGAATATACGAAAAAAAAACCATAACAGTCTTTGTAAAAGTGTGCGGCCATTAAATTATTGACTGAAAATCAAAATGTCAAAAGCAATACTTCTGTCAGTTCAGTTCAGTTTTGCTTCTTATTCTTAGAAAAGACACTTTTTTTTTTAATTTGCTCAAAAGACTTGAGACAACGGTATAATTTTAAATTGATAAAACGAGGGCATTTTATTACCAAATCGTAATCTTTATTATCAAAGATAGTAGTTATCATATTTTATTGTTTATCGCGACGTTTACATTGTTTTGCAGTAATAGAAGTGCAGTTAAATCAATAAAAAGTTCAATCAGTAACTCGTGGTTCTAAAACAGTGATGTTAACATATTTATAAAATAAAAAGGTATGGAAACTTTTTATTACCAATTATGAGCTCAAATTATTTGATGTACTAAATTGATTAAATACTTCCATGTCGAAATTTTCGCGACAACATTTTTTGTCAGCAATTATTGGTTATGTTAAGTGTTTGTAGTTTATATCAATCTGTAACAAATACTTGACATAATTATACACCAGAAACCAATTGGAGTTATAGATTCGTCAATTGATACTTGCCTCAATAGTAATTGAATACTAAACATAACTATTTAGTTACAATAAGCAAAAAGCAAAGACTTCCAAATGTATCTTATTTATTAATGTTTCGTTCTTAACTTGATTTTTACTCTTTTGCAGGAAAGAATGTTAAAAAACATGAAGGTTGATAAAAAATTGCTGCCCATAAAGGGACATTACTTTCTTTTTAACGCTGGTGAGAATTATTTCTATTAATTATATGCCAATACCAAAAACTGCAGTAAGTTGTCTTTAGGATAAATGAGACTTAGTTATAAACTGATTAATTTTAAATACAAATAACTAGCTCTCGCTTGCGACTCTGTCTGTGTGGAAATTAATAAAAACAAAAGTAAGTAGCCTATGTGTTGTCCCAGACTGTCCTCTACAACTATGCCAAATTAGATATATGCAGATTATATATAAGTGTACAAATCCTAGCTGCTGCAAACTTCATTTGAGTTGCCACAAACACAATTTTAGGTGTAGCGAGGTATAACGGGATTCAGGGGCACTGTACATCATGCTAATGGCCTTGGACGGCTGATATGTTTAAAATTAACCAAACAATGTTGTGTTTGCCCTTCAACCACTCTGTTCATTACTAAATTTTAATTTGTGTTGTTCTTTTTTAGGTACCGCACCTTTAGTCCCATATTTATCAACATATGCTCGCCAGTTGGGATTCTCATCAGCAACAGTTGGTTTAATTTACACAGTCCTACCAATATTTGGTTTAGTTGCAAAACCTTTGTTCGGAATAATAGCTGACAGGTATGTGTTTATTAATCACTATAAATTACATTAATAAGTGTAAATTAATGTATGAATGAACTTGTTTGCAGTACCTTTTTAATAATAGCACTAAAATGATGCTAAGCAACACATAATGACAAATTAGTGTAGAATGTTGGTGTTAGAAATAAAAATGTTATGTAACTCTTTTTTTATCTATGTCCGAGCTATCTTTATCTTAATATTGGGATATTAAGTTTATTTTTTGTATGTTTACAATATGCCTTTTGTATTGATGTCAATATGCATCTTTCATCACATGAATTGATTGAAATTTGATAATCTAATAAAATGATTTTTGATGAAGATTCCATTCATTGAACAGTTTTTTTATATCTCAACAAGTTATTTAAATATATGATAGGTATCAAAACCTTATACAGTAGAACCTCGATAAGTTAAAGTCCAAGGGAAACAAAATATTTTAAGTTATAGAGGTTTTAAGTTATCAACGGACTATGTTATAGAGGTTTTGGGCTCTGATGGGAAGGGAACATATTATTTTTTGAAGTTATAGAGGTTTTTAAGTTTCCGAGGTTTGAGTTATCAAGGTCCTACAGTATTACATTTGGCTAATAATTATTTAATGAATATTGATAATGAGATTTGCAAGCCATTTTTACCAAATTAACAGGCAAATATTTCATTTGATATAATGTGCATTCCATTATATCTGTAGTTAAGGATGTAATTAAATCAAAACATGCACCACAGGTATGCCAACCCGAAAAACGGGTTGCTCAACATAATACCACAGACAACTTTTTTGTCTTTATCTGTTTCAAGGAAATGAATCCTTGAGGAATGTTTTTGTTTCTTATTTTAAATCACAATGCAATATGAATTAGGAGTGACATTTAAAAAGATAAAAAAACATGTTACTATTTATAAAACTTAAACCATGTGCAAACTTAGATTGAAGGTCAAAGAAGTAAAGAGGATGTAAAGGGCTGTATTATTAAAACATAATTTAAATTTATGTTACATTTAACAATTGAGAGACGGAGATTTGACCTTACACAGTTGTATGTTTGTGATCTGTGACTTGCGTTTGCAATCAAGGTTGAGATAACATCTCTGCACTATTAAACAATTCATGCTTAGTCTATACTTGCTTAATCACAGATTGTTTATGATGAACTAAAAAAGTTAGGAGAGTAATATTGCTTTTTATGTCTTACCAATATTAAAAATGTAAATGTTTGGATGGAAGGATGGTTATCTGTTAGAGTTTGTAGCTTTAAGAGTGGAACGGACCTTGATGAAATTTGGCATATATGTAGAGGATTGTTTCCTTGGTATATGTTAATTTTGTTTTTCATGTTTACTCTATAATTATGCAATGGTTTATCCTATCTAAACATATCTTAGTGATATTTGGATATAAGATAAAGTCTGGAGTAAAACATTGGGATACAGAATTCTAAAAAAATGTCATGTTCCCAAGAGAGAAATGGTTTTTCATATTTTTTCTTATTACTTTATAATTTCATAAATACAGATTTCTAAATAGATGAATTATAAAACATCATCATGTAAAGAATATAATAGGCTATGAAAAGGATATAAATGATAATTCGATTTAACATTAATCCAACACTTTAGTTATTTAGTTTATCTAGCTGCAATTAAGATAAGTCCCTCAATATAATTCTATTTCTTTAAGATAATATTGTTTAAATATAACTGTGTTACCATTTGATTTTTCCAATTCACTTCCCTTAACATCTTAAAAATTAGTACATAATGCGACATTTTTTTAAAAAATGTAGCATTGATTACTACAAGCTATATCTTAAATCTGTATTATTTTATTGTTTTTATAAAGCTATATTATTCATATAGTATCTGCCTAATTATCTTTACAGGTTATGTAGTAGTAAAACCTAATATACACAAACAATATTTGTTTTGTTACAGGTTTAAAAGACAAAAATCGATATTTATTTTATTCCAAATTGTGACTATAGTTAGTTTTTCGGCTATTTATACTATACCTGGTGAGACAGGAAATACTTCATCTGTGCAATTGGAATGTGGCAATGGAGCATCCTTTCTCCGCAGTTGCTATCAAGATGCGAAATCGATTAATCAATGCAGTAAAAACTCATTAGGAAATCTCAACGGTACATCAAAATGTAATGTAAGTATATTTATTTCTTCAGTCAATCTTATTAATATTATAAATGCAAAAGTTTGGATGGAAGGTTGTGTGTTAGAGTTTGTAGACTAAACTGCTGAACGGATCTGGAACACATAGGCTAATTAGATTTTTTAAAATTCCATGGACGGAGTCGTGGGTGGAACCTAGTATATTTATAAATCTTATAGTACCATATAAGTGTTGATATAATTAGCAAGGAGTTACAGTGCTGTAAATTAAAGAGATGATTTTTTTTTTTTCAGATGAGTTGTGAAATGAACTCTCCCAAGATGTGGCAAACAGTTTGCGAACATTGGCATATGCCCCAATACTGTTATAGCGAGACGGATCTAATAGAATACACAGCACATATTAATAATGCTGATCTTAGAGATGATCAATGCTTGTATTTAAATACGGATGCAGTAAAACTAGATGGTAAGTACATCATTTAATCTATACTAGCTGTTTCCGTGCGACTTCATCTACATAAAATTATGAAAAAATTATTTAATTGTTTACATGTGTGAAATAATCAATTGCAAATGTAGAAATGACGACATGATGACAAACCATGCCAACCTTGCTTCTTTAATGTTGGCAGCTTGTAGTTTATGGTCCCTTTCCGAAATGAACGTTTTTTTCCAATTCATTTTAACCCAATTTATCCCAAGTTTAATAGTGTAAAGGTATATAGCCTGAGGCGTGTTGTAAGTGCTAGGGCTTTTTATCAAATGAATATGAAGAAGATTATTCAAAAACATACTGTGATTGCTGTCATTCTATGCCTCAAAGTAGTGTGTGTTTACGCTTTATTATATTAATATAGATATATTCCCCAGTTATATATTGACTACAGCATCGTATTAACAGTATTGTTTTAGGAATAACTAGCTTTCGCTCGCGACTCCGTCCGCGCGGAATTAAAAAAACAAATGTGAGTAGCCTATGTGTTCTTCCAGAGTATCCTCTACATCTATGCCAAATTTCATCGAAATCCGTTTACCCGTTTAGGCTACAAACTCTAACAAACATCCATCTATCCATCCCTCCATCTAAACTTTCGCATTTATAATATTAGTAAGATTATGTGTTTTTCGTTAATAATTTCAGGATACCCTTATACACCACATTGTCACATTGGTGAGGGATATCGTGATCTCAATCAATCTTGCGCAATGAATTGTACAAACTCCAAGCTGTTTTCGGCGATAGGCAATTCAAAGCCAATTATGACTTGCTCAAATAAATTGCTCAATTTCCGTTTATGTTCAAATGATACAAATGCTCTCAAAGAAGCTGCTACACAAACAAATGATGAATGTCAGGTAATTTAATGTATTCATATGAAAATTTATTTATCTGTGTTATTAAAACAAAATAGTAAAGATTGTTTTTAACTAAACTGTTATCATTTTTTTTTATGTTTAAAGACTTTTATCCCCAAAAAGACATATAGTCACTTACATAACAATCTACATATACAATATATTGTTTGTCGCCTATATTCATTTTATATAAATTTTGCACAATTTTCTTATACATGTTTTGTTAACATTAATTTAATTATATTAAGTGAATCCCCATTTTTAATAGAGGATGGTAATTTGTTATAAAGTTGTGCTCCTTCGAAATTGATGTTTTTTTGCACCATAGTTGGTTTTTTACTAGCCGTTGCCCGCGACTTCATCCGCGTGGTATTAGAAAACATAAAACTTGAATAAAAATTCAATTTAACAACATTTCAGGTTTCTTGTGACTTAGATAAGTCAGCTCCTTGGCGTCTTATGGAGATATGTGAAGCATGGGGAGCTGATGCAGCCAAAACATGCCGTCCAAAGACCAGAATTGGTACAGAATTCCCTAAAAATCTCTCATTTGTTGGAAGTGTGCTGCTTTCTACAGTAATTACTGAAGAGGAATGTGCATTTGTCCAGCTTAATCATATCAAGTTACCTGATGGTATGTATTTCTATGTACTAACATAGTCTTATTTGACTAAAATCGATGTTTCATTGCAATGTATCTTTGTTTAAAAAACCAGCTGTTGCATGCGTCTTCGTCTACGCGAAATTAATATATATACTCGGTGATAACATAGTTATTTATTGGTGAAATAATTATAGAAATCGATCCTGGTAGTTTTTGAACAATTTTATATACATGTTATTGCTTTGTCTTACAGGTTCCATTCACTATCCAAATTGTATGAAGAAAGCTGCATTTGAAACTGGGAAAGATATATTTTATCCAAGTTGTAATATCCAATGTGATAATATGGCTGTAAGTACTGCATACACTAGAATATTATTCAACCCTAGCTGTTTCCCGCGACTTTGTCCAAAGTAGCGTAAAATATGGCCATCTATGTCAGCTACCCTTCATTGAAAGTCCGGTGAAATCGTCCCAGCCATTTTGGAGATTACTGGGAACAAACGCGGCTTGCGGACAGACAGACAAAAAAAAAATGGAATTTTCTTTATCAACAACGCAAATACATCATCTTCCCTACAACAGACATTCCAATTTTATTATATGTATATAGATATAGAAAAAAATACATACGAATGTGTTTTTTTTACAGATTAATGAATGGTTTCAATCAGCAACAGAGAGTCGTAACAATTCAACACAATATACAAGACAGTTTTGGCTTTTCTTCCTACTGATGATAATAAGTTGGATTGGTCAAGCTGTGGTAGTGACTTTTGCAGATGCTATATGTTTCAACGTATTAGGTATTATCACAATAATTAATATTTAATATTTATTTTATAATCTGTACTTTATTACATATTATCTGTACTTTATTAAAGAGCTTCGGTGGCTCAGTGGTTTGAACACTTGACTTGTAATCAAAAGGTGTTGGGTTCGAATCCCGCCATGTACCAATGTGATTTTCGATTTTTCGGATTTTCATATGTACATAATTTACCCAACGTTCTTACGGTGAAGGAAAACAAAGTGATGCAACCTGCACATATCGGCGAAGAAATTCAAAGATATGTGTGAAGTCAACCAACCCGCACTTGGCCAGCGCGGTTGACTATGGCCTAGTCACCCCATATTAGGGTAGGCTCCGAGTCCCTCGGTGGGGACGTATAGTGAGCTGGTGATGATGATGATGATGACTTTATTACATACATTTGTGAACCTTTCAATTGCAAATATCAAAATTTATATGCATAAATGACTGAAGGTCTTTCCCATTGGCTAACAATTACCGTTACCAGCAATCTTGCTTTGATACTATTGGCTTGTAGTTTTTGTTCCTTACTCACATGATGGTTTTTAATTATTTTTTTTTTCTTTCAGGGCCACAAGTTGCTTTATACGGCAAACAGCGACTTTGGGGTTCCGTTGGCTGGGGTATATTTTCATTACTAACTGGTACATTAATTGACTGGTTCAGTGAAGGCGCTTACAAAGATTATACGATCGCCTTTATACTAATGTTTGTGTTTATGTGTGGAGATGTTATTGTTTCATGCTTTATTAAGGTAAGTAGTTCTTTATACTTTCAATGTTTTTCTTTTAACTTGTATGCTCTGCTATTATTTTTATAATTTTATTGACAAAAAAAATGTTAAATACGTAAGCGGCATAGATTTTTATATACTTTCAGTTCCTTCGGTACCAGGTGTAGAACACCCTGTATCTTATTCGCATTATAAGCGAGATACGTACCAGGTGTTTTAGAGCTGGTATCGCATTGAACGTGTTAATGTAGTTCTCTCCTGTTATTGTCATCCTTTTTGTGGAAAACAGGGTCAATTTTTTTTACAAAAATTTTGTGTCTGTTTTCCACAAAAATTGGGAAAGTCAATTATGTTTTTTTTTTCAGAGTGAATCTACAAAGATGTCGGTTAATATTTTAATAGACGTTGGTACTCTGCTTTCTTCGATACCTACGCTCGTGTTTATGCTATGGACGATTGCTGTTGGTTTGTGTACCGGTCTTCTCTGGCAATTCCTCTTTTGGCTTCTAGAAGATATTTATGGCTGTGATAATTCTGATTATGTTAAAACATTGCAAGGATTGGTTAGTGCTATTCAGACGTTCGGTGGTGAGATACCGTTCATGTTTGCATCCGGTAAGTGGTGAAATAAAATATTAATATACTAGATTTTGCCCGCGACTCCGTCCATGTGAAATTAAAAAAGTAAGTAGCCTATGTGTTGAAGACTATTCTCTAAAGTTATGCGAAATATCAACGAGATCCGTTCAGTATTTTTACGCTATTAAACTTAGGGAATAAATAAATTGGAAAAACCTTAATGTGGGAAAGGGACCATAAACTACAAGCTGCCAACATTAAGGAAGCAAGGTTGCCATGGTTTGTCATCATGTCATGTAATTTTGACATTTGCAATTGATAATTTGACACATGTAAAGAACTTAAAAGAAACAAATGAAGTAAATATTTTTAAATTTCACATGGACGAAGCCGCACGTGAAGAGCTAATAAAATATAATATTGGTATGAAGTATACAAAAAATATGAATTTGTTAAATAGTAATTTTAATTGTTATTTTCAGGTTATATTCTTAAAAAGTTGGGCCATGTTAATATGATGAGTTTAGTGCTATTTGCGTTTGGTGTACGTTTTGTGCTATATTCTTTACTGACTAACGCATGGTGGGTGCTTCCAATAGAGATGTTACAAGGTATAACATTCGGAATGTTTTACCCAACGATGGCATCCTATGCCAATGTTGTGTCACCACCGGGAACCGAAACAACTGTACAGGTATTAATGAATTCTGATTATACTAGCTTTTGCCCGTCACTCCGTTCGTGTGGTATTAAGAAAATCAAAACCAAGTAGTCTACGAATTCCAGACCATCGTATACATGTATACCAAATTTAATCAAGATCTGTTAATCTCTTTAGGCTACAAACTCTAACAAACATTCATCCAAACCTTTACATTTATATTACTAGTAAAATTGGATGAATAGATTTTACAGATATAGATAATTTCGTTTGGAATTTTAAAAAATAGGACCAAATTTAATGATAACCAGTCAATAATAATTCCCTTCTACATTAGTTGTATTGTAATTCTTTCAGGGCCTTGTTGGTGCAGTTTTCGAAGGAGTTGGCACTTCCCTAGGCAGTTTTATTGGTGGAAGATTATATGAAACATATGGAGGTTCAAATACTTTCCTGTGGTTTGGTATTGGATCACTTATATGTTGCGTTGTTCACGTATTCGTCCAATATCTAATAAGGGACAAAGTTCGTCATGCTGAGCTGACGAAAGGTAATGAACCAGCGGAAGCTGAATAATTTTTTTTCTTATAATGACGTACCTCGTATAAATATCATCGCAATTACTTATGTTAGGATGTAATTGGTTAGCTTTTTACTAAGTAACGGTTAAAAAAATCACTGTCAATTTTATTTACTTTGAATAATCAACATCAAAGTATCTTAAAATTAATATTAACGCAATTTATTTTAATGAATATAGGCAAGATACATTTTATTACGGAAATCCTGTATACTTAAACCTGTATTGTATTTGCCGAGACTATAACTATTCCATCCCACCAAACAGTCCACTTATTTGGTATTGCATTTATGAATAATAAACAAGATTATTTTTAAACCTTACTCTTTTAAAACTTAGCTTTGCTCTTCCTACTTTCACATTATTCTTTCGTAATTTTTTAAATCAATTAATGTTTCAATGTAAGTATATATAATAGAATGTAAAAAAATAATAAATAGCCGTTTACTTCACACTAAATATCATATTTATACTACTTAATATACCACGTGTCTTAGTTATGTGGCGAACTGTGAGCGACTAAAAAAATAAATGGTTGCGTAAGTAACGTGAGCGAACGAGAGAGCACCCGTGCGAAAGAGACAACGTATCTTATACGCACGACTCCTACATACTTTAATTTAAAAATAACAGTTTGCGAACAAAGTCAAATCGCTATAAGCAACTATTTTTAAAGTTGGAAAATGCTGTAAGCAATAACCATTATTTATTCTTTATTTATTTCAATATTGTTTTTCTATTTATTTTTAATTTATTTATTTAATTTCTTACTTTTTTCCTATTAAAATTATGTGTGTAAAATTTCTAATAGTTTATAGTAATATACAATGCTATATGAACTTTATATCGGCTTGTTTCGCACGAGGCGACTAGAATCATAGATAAATTAAGAGGGAAAGGGACATAAAGCGAGGTGTAGAGCGGAATATTCCCAAGCGCATCGCTTTTGTTCCTTAATAATCGTTTAAATTTAGACTTAGTATAAAATCATTCCAAGTGAAGAAGAAAAATACGACCAGACTAACCATTAAGATCCACTGCCCAAATTATTTTATTAAATTTGCTTATAAACATTTATAAACAAATTTAATAAATTCTCTGTAATTTTAGGAAATAGAAAGTAAGGTATAAATTACCTATAATACTTTTTAATGATTTATCATATGTATTATAAATGTAATAATATTTTACTTTATAAGGGGACAGTTGTTATATAAAACTAACCATAGAATTGAACATGTATTTCATTAATCACTGTTTGTTCAGATCTGTATTTTATACTATAAATTTTGTTTTATTTTTTACTGTCGTGAAAGTTCCATTTCTCAAATCTAACACAGTTAACAGCTGTCCCTTTAAATATAGGCTTCTTTTATTTTGAATAGTGATATTTTTACCTATCAATTTCTTGAATATTGTGGAATTTTAGGTTTCCTTTTAACACTAGCATAGTGTAAGATTTTTAGCAATTATAACATTGATCAAATTAAAGAACAAATTTTTATGTACTTATTATATATGTGTTTAAATTTAGTATTATACAAATAAAACTATTAGCGATAGCAGAAAAATAAATTAATATTTTTCATTATGCTTGTATAATCGATCTTTGCAATAGTCGATAGTTCTAAGGCCATATTTGTGTGAAAAATTCCTTTGAAACATGTCTCGAATTATATATATTTTTACAACCATCGCACTGCACCATACAATTTGACATTACATCAGTATTCCCCTCTCTCCCTCCCCCCTCTCTCTCTCTCCCTCTCTCTCTTTCTTTCTCAATGTCTCTCCTTACCTATTTTTTCCCTTTCCTAAGTGTTCTATGAAGCAATGAAATAGAATATTTCACGAATTGAAATTCAATTCATGATTCAATTGTTTTTTTAAATGCCTTCTTTTATTAAGAGGTAATTATTGACATTACTGTTTAATATTATTTTGTTTTAGTTCCCAGTAATTAAATATTTGTGATGCATTTATGTATGGTGCTGTTGAAAATTCGTTTTATTGGCTCGAATTATCTTCGTAAAATACTTTAATGTTTCAAACCTATAATTTATATTGTATCTTATACCTACATTAAGACTGTAATTTTTAGCTACAATATTTGATGTCGGGAAATTATGTCTCATATATTGTGTATGTAAGGATATTGAAGTAATTTAACGATAAGAATATACTTTACTAAATCATCACAATATAAGCCGTATTTGTAAAAACCGAAATTAAATGAATGTTTGTACAGTATTTTAAAAATTTGGAATATGTTTCTTCTATTTTCGTTACTGTTTTTTGCTTTTTTACCTTTTTAATCACTAAAAGAGATTGTTTCATTAACTCAGTTCAAAATACCAATTAGATTTACTTTTTTATGTGACATAGTTACTTCTGTGTGTATTCTGTTATACTGGTTGTGATGCTGGCTTTGGAAAGCGCTTTGATGGTAAAAAGTCTATTGCAACCAGCATTTATTGCCTCGATAAGTGTCAATATTTTTTTTACGTAAATTCACCAAATATAACTTAGCTTAAATACAAGACAAACTCCAAAGCACTATTATTCAATGGGAACTATTGTGGATGGATGAGTGTATACGTCTAAAAATCGGTGTAACGGTTTGATTTTTTTTTTTGGAGATTTCAAACATGGACCAAACTGTTTTATATGTATCGTTTACTTTTCTATTAAGGTTTTTGATATTCCGGGATTTTTGTTATTTGATAACGAACTGTACTTTGATAAACATGTAATTGTTCAGTTCAACTGTTTCTCCATCCATACATTTTTGTCATCAGTCATCATACATTAATAACCTAAACTAGACATCAAATGAGATTATGAAGTACTAATAATCAACATTAAACTGCTTCAATTATGTCTGTGATTTTTTTAACCTTATAAAGGTTTTGTTGTGCTTTTAATTTTTTTTTTAATTATTTTTATTCCATACTCTTTCGAGGGCTCAATAAGTGACTATAGATTTAATTTTATATCCATTTAGGAATGTAGTGATAGATTTAATGCCATTTTTTGGTGATATACGTATTTTTATTCGGCATATTATGTTCCTATTATATCGAGTATTATGTTATTTGTGTTAGTGTACTTTTAATTGAAATAAACTATTAGGCATTATAAAGCCTGTGTTTGATTTATTCTTTTTGTACTTTGAATACTTTGTGTGAGTTTAGGATGTCTTGTTAATTGTTAGTTTTAATTTTAGTATTAATGTTGGGTTAACCAGATTGCTATCAAAATGTATACCGAAAAATGTGTCGAAGATTGTTACCATACTGGTGTGTAGAAGCAAGTATATTCCAAATTTTTACTTCATTGCTTGTATAATACGTGCATGTCTGTTATCATGTTCACAAACTACTTCCTTGTCATTATGCATGTTTTCTGTTGCTAGTTGCATGTAATTAATTTTGTTTTTTTTTTCTCTTACAGCTTACTCGTCTATAATGCGTTACGAAAATCTGTACGATCCAAATTATATACTTCAAGAAATGACAGATTTCAACGCGGAACACTAAAGTAGTTTACGGGTAGATTTTAGTGAAAATTCTAAGAACTATTTTGTATTATTTTTGTAAGTTCTCGTCTCAATATCGATTGTTAGCAAAAATGTTCATGAATTTTGTTTACAATATTAAAATTGTCAATCGTGTAGGCAATTTGACTCAACATGGCAGCATAAAATAATAAACATAAGCTATAAGTAACGCAGAACTACTTTTAAGCAAATTTATGTAGTCTTCTTTATTTCGTATGTTTAAAATTGTTGTTTTTTTTACTCTACAAAGCAGCTAGTAGTTATAGATTTTTGTTCTAAATATTTAAATATTTAGGATATAAATTAAGGTTCACAAACTAGCTTTACAATAACAATGGAATTGAAACTCAAACTCATGGCTGTTGCTTTATCCAACATATACAAGTTTATGTATTTATCTCTCCTTTTTTATTACTAAAGAATTATATTTTAGAATTTTTTATTCGGGATTCTTAATCAAGACCTAAATTATGTGAAGAAAAAAAGATTTTTTTACAGTAGGCAGCCTTTGTTCACACTATTTAACATCGGAAATCTCGCATTGTAGAAATGATGATAAACTAACTCATATACACTATATATTTTTTTAACTGTATTTAGTTCTTGATTTGGGACAGAACGTAGTTCTCTTTATCGTGTGCAATTATTCTAGATTTAAGTGCTGGGTACTTAGTTATTAGTGTAATTGAATCTTTAGAATAGTTTTATGAAGGAAATAAAAAAAAACACTGAGTTTTATTGCCGTGTATATTTAATGTGCAAAACTATATTTCAGTAGATTATTTATTATTGGAATAAAACAGAAAATGTTCCAGTCAACCACTCAATGGGCGACCCGCAGAAATCCTTGAATGAAATACGTCTATTTTCACTTAGTATGTCCCAGACCAGACCATCCAGACCATCTAAATCTAAATGTTAATCTGATATGTGGTCTTTTTGTACTTCATCCTTAAATACTTCGTGATTTGTTTAGCCGAAGAATACGTATAATTGAAATAATGTTGCAAAAAAAGGAGCTGGAGCCACTTTAAGACCGATATAAAAACTTCATGGTTTTCTTCTGGTGTGTCTACTACAGTGAAACCACGATCTCGACAATGTTCTAATTCTGAAAGAAAACTAAAAAAGCTTTATATTGATTACAATGTCACCAAATATTTACTTACACGGGTCAAACTCTAAGGATCCATAAAAATGATAAGTGAATAAAACGTACATTTTTAGTCTATAAAATACTCTCATTTTATGTATGTGACATTGCTACTCTTTGGCATTTATAATTTTATAATCTACTTTTCTTGCTCTTCACTTCAATTTAACTTCAGATTAGATTACTTCAGATCGAACGCCAGCGCCAACCGCCACAGTTTTATTAAAATTAAGTGATTTATAAGTCTGACTCAACAATTACACCGTCATTGAGTGTTTGGAATGAAAATCTATAAAAATATGATCACAACGATATAATGTTTTTGTGTATATAGTGGTGGTATCGTATCAAAATATAAGAGTTATTTGAAAATCTCCACGTTCATCATGGGTTCCCGATTAAGGTAATTGAATAGGTTTATTTTATATTACTACAAAAACGAAATACTTACCTTTCATTTTACATTAAAACTAAGAATATGAGCAAATCGTCGAAACTGTAACTCGGCCGATTGTTGCAATATTTTTGCAATACACTATGTTTTTTGCTTCATCCATAGCGACCGTACTTTCTTTTTGTGATTTCAAGTTTTTATTGTTTTGGTTTGTATAAGCCTTTTACTGTTAAACTTAATATTTCCAATTGTCAAATAACTTTCTCCTGTGTTGTGATTCAAAGTTATTCTAATGAAAGAAAGAAAATCTCGAAATATTCACTGCTCTATTTATGTTTGTAGGCAGTATTTTATAGATATCACTACCATTTCCCGTTCGATTATCAAACTATTGTATACATGAACTCTGTTTTTCTTTTATCTTTTTATGAAGATTGTCACTTCCTAACTAGCTTTGTAATAAAAGAATAATGTTAACTGTAGCTATTATTTGACCAAATAATTTGTATAGTTGGAACAACTAGTATGTAAACAATTTTAGTGTGTAATATATACATAATCTAAGTTGTAAAAGTAGCTTAATATTTGATAATTATATCACAAGAGCAAATGTATATCTAATATTTTTTTTAATAGTGTCATTTTAAAAATATTCTAATCTAATTTTTAATTCTAAGTACTAATTATTTTTTTTGTAATTTCAGAGACACCGTACAAGTTCTCTTTGAACTTTTCTGCGAAGTGTCACCCGGTGATGATGTGAAAGAGCCTTTTATACTCAGAAAATATCCTGAAACATATGGCAAAGATGAGGAATTGAGAAATATACCAAAGTTCACTTTTCCATGCAAAATTGATAAGTAAGTACTCATTTACGATGAAATTTCACAGTTGACGCTTGTATTAAGACATATTGTTGTCCCTGTTATATCAAATTGAATGAAAGGGATAAAAATATTTGGTTATGACAATGTCTCTCTTATATAATCCAAGTGTGATCAGAGGTCATTGCAAGTACAAACTTATAAAAGTGTTACAACAGTCAAAACCTATTGTGACATGAAATTTTAATAAAAAGTAGTGTATTTCATGTATTTATAACATTGTTAATAATTTAATTTACTGGAAAAAGGTTCAGACAATTCGATTGCATATGTTTTAAAGTCGGTTACAAGTTTAGATGTTAATAAGTTACATTTTTGCTTTCAACACAAATAGCCTCCCTATATCTCCGTTATATTTTTTAAAATCACAGAATGGATGATAGCGATTCATAGACAATGAGAATTTTTTTCATTTATGATTCTGGATCTTGTTAAAATTAGTAATATATCAATCATGCTAAATATTATTCTTATCAATTTCAATATCATTATTGAATGCTAAAGAATTTTATCCATAGAGGTATTATACAACTTTCTATTAAAAAACTTTGATTGTAGTCCATTTGGAAGTGTTCATGTGCAGCATATAAATGTGTGTCTATAAAGACACTATGTTACATTTCAATGATACCAATTTTGCAATCTACTTGACAATTGACTACTTGACTTGATAATTTAACTGCAGCATTCAGAGTTTAAGGGCCTGTCCCACCAAATTGTAGTTTGTCTGATAACAGTCCACCATGTAAAATATGTGATGTCGGATTTTGTTAGCTTATCTGACAGTGACGACGATTTTAAGTTATCTGAGCCTCTATCTGCTAGTGGAGGGATAGCTCCTTAATGTTCCCTTAACAATCATTTCTAAAATTGAGTCGTCACCAAAAACCTCTTTTAGTGGACAATTAATGATTTTCTGCGGTAATATATTTTTTAGTAAAAGTTAAATATGTAAATTGTGAATTATTTATAAAACTTAGACAGATGAGTAGTTTTTATTGTGATTTTCTTATAGAATGCCACTGATAAGTAATTATTAGTTGATTAGTCAGCATTCAATGTTAAATTAACAATTCCTTCACCTTGCTTACTGTACCACAATACAATAGTGTTGAAACCTTTAAGGACGATACTTGTATTTGAACAAACTATAGATTTATTTAAATTAAATGGTAGTGTTAGTATTTCAACCTTACATTTCAAAATAATATAAAAGGCAGTCACAAAATATCACAATTATATTTGAGCACAGTCAGGAATGATTCACATTCTTCTTGTAATTACAAGGTAATATGATATAACATACTCATATAATGCAGCTGTAATTTCATCTCATTGATATGTTTAATTTATGTACACCATACTAATATTATTGTATTGTTTTTTTCAGTACATACATTCAACATTATTCATTTGTGTTGACTTCTGTTGATTCAAAGTACACATTTTGTTTTTGCCGATACGACCCAAAAGTGAATACAGCGTTGGTGCTACTTTCGTATTTACCATGGCATGATATATTTTACAAGTAAGTATTACCTAGATATTATAAAACAGATGCGTCTATGACAATACTATAGTATGGGTTTAGACTACGGTGTCTCTTGTTTACATTGTCAATGATCTCTATAAATGGACTGGCTTAAAAGGGGTAGTTATTATTCGAAATAGTAATAGATATAGTCATAATAGATATATAACTGTCAGTAACATTTATCAGGAATATTTGCCTGATAGTTGCAAATACGTTATCCGTAATGTAATCGAGAAAATTTTGTAAAAAATTTGTTGGTGTACTTTACAACCGTCGCTGCACAAATCAAATATAAATTTTGTCAATGGTTAACTAAAATGGTCTCATGTATATTTGTGATAAGACCCCAATGCATATTGTAGTCTCTTTTGTCAACGTGAATAGGATAACAATATTAGTACAAGCGTCGCAGCAGTCGAGTTCTATTGTTAGTTACAGACATATTGTCGTCTTTGTTATTCCAAAGAGAGTGGGAGGGATGGCTATATGATTTGATAAAAGGTCTTCGACAGTTAAAGTCCTTAGTTTATACTATGAATTAACCATACTCTTGCATTGATAGTAAACTTCCTTAAATTTAAAATATTCATTAATGTTACATGATATTTAATTGTTCTTGAATGCTTGCGTGATTTACGCATGAGATGTTAACTTGTCCGCATATGCGAAAGCAATATTTAGAATTAATGAATAAAAAAATTATTATATGTGCATTATTCATTTTTTTATGTTAATCTGTGGGATATCAGATTAATGATTGAGCTTAGTAATGATGTTAATATAGACAAGATTTTTTTTATTTTGTTTTATTAGTTATGTTTCAAGTACACTTTAGTTTTGCAAAGCAGTTGACTATTTAAATGTCTATGGCGCGATTTTTTTAATTAGTCTTTTTTATTGGTTTGGGGAAGGTGTTAAGCAGTGGCGATAAAAATATATGGTATTTTAAAAACAAAAGAAGATAAAACCTTAAGTAATTTTAATATTAGATTGAGTTATTGTTAATCATACTTCATACTTCATACTCTTACTCATACTAATATTATAAATGCGATAGTTTAGATGGATTGATGGATATTTGTTAGAGTTTGTAGCCTTAACGGCTGAACGGATTTCGATGAAATTTGGTATAGATGTAGAGGATAGTCGGGAACATATAGACAATTCACTTTTGTTTTTTTCATACCACGCGGACGGAGTCGCGGGCGAAAGCTAGTAACTACTAAAAATAGTAGTTCTGTAATGTTGATAAATTATACTGTGTTTTCATATTAAGCGCGTTGCTGTTGAAATATTATGTTAAATATAATATATACAAATATTTATGCCTTTGCAATGTGTTTTAATGCCAAATCGAAATGATGATGTAAAAGTGAAAGTAGTATTGAGTTTCTAAGATTTTATTTTTTTATTGCATTTCCTTTCTAGTATACTGACACAAATTGGCTAAAATCTGTCCTGTGGTCTAGAATATATGGGATAAAACACACAATCGTTGATTCGTATATAAATAAAAGCGTTAAAAAACAGTTAAAATACACTCTATTCTTTATAATTTTTTTAGAATAGATTAATTTTTTTTAACACATGTTAAAAGACATACTTTTTTATTTGTGTATATGTTAGTGTGTTAAATGTCTTTTTTTCCTTTTCAGATTGTTAGACAGCATCGCACAGTTATTGAATGGTTCAGAAAGAGATGGTTTGACGTCGTTTTTAGAAGCATGCCGCGCACACCCACCTATGTCCGGACATACGCTCAAAGTTATTTAT